TAAACACCTAATCTGGCCATTTACTATCATTATCAAGTATTATGCACTGTGCATAATTGTTTGTGCTATACTTTTATACGACTGGCAGCACTATATACCTAGTCTCTAAATCATGGCATTATCTTGATTCATCTCTCAGATCTAGTTAGCCAACACCTGAGTTGGCAGGTATTATTTAAAATGAGTCTTGAATCCTTGTTTTCCACTCTATTTTTACTACCACCAATCCAGTGTATCTTCTCATCACCTCATACCAGGGTTAGTTTCCTTGATATTGGATTCTCCTCACTACAATGCATACTGTCACCAAACCAATATTCTCTAAACGTTGCTTTCATCATGTCGCTCCTTGCTCAAAACTTTTTGATAGTTTTAGACTTCTGAGAAAACCTGATTTAAATATCTCTGCTTATTTTGAAGGTTTTCATAATCTGATCTCCCCTTACTTACTCAATTTTGTTGATAACTACACTGTAACATGCAAGGCCCGCTCTATTCAGACTGGCCTTTTCTCTGTCCACTCAGAAGACAAGCTCGACCCTATCTCTAGGTCTCACTCGTGGTATTTTTTCCCTCAGCTGAGTACCTTTCCTTCTTCCCCACTCCCATATGGATGCTACTCATCCCCAAAACCTGAATAAATCCCTCCTAGGTCAAGAAATGTTCTTTGACAACTTGATCACCTTCACTGGAAAATACTAATCTAATGGTTTAGTGCTTCTTTATCTATGTCTTGAACTGTTTTCTATTTTTTTTGTGTGTGTGTATTGGCTTTGACTCTCCAATTAGACTTGACACTTTCTAAAGACAATTCAGGGAACACAGTAGTTATTAAATGAGCACTTGTTAATTGTCTTAAATGAAGAAGAAAGACAACAAGAAAGACTAACCTACTTCTTCAACTCCTGTGCTTTTGAAGCACTTTAGAGATGCGAACAAAATCTCAAACAGTCTGTCTGGACTTTGAGTGATTTATGGCAAAGTATTCTTCTCTAATGAAAGGGAATCCTGTGTACTTTGGCAGTCCACACAGGCTTTTGGAAGTGACAGCAGAGATACAGAAAGGAAGCAGGGCTTCAGTATTGGCTGGAGTCCTCCAGGAAGTGAGAACAACAAAGCCTTTCACCCAGTTTCAACTAAGTAATGTCAGGAAGTCCGGCCAATAAAGGAAAGATAAACTGAAAGTCTTTTCACTTTCCCTGCTACATTTTACTGCTTTACTTACAGAAGCCTTGGAAGGAGTCTGGGGATTTATCTATAAAATCTTGATGCTCTGCTGGTATAAGACAGATGCACAAGGTACTATGACTGTCTTTAAAATGAACTGTGTTAATAAAGTTTCTGCCAATTGATCTAGAAACCAATTATCTGAAGTAGCCTCCAACTACGTTATTCCAACTACATTCTTTGAATTATAGCTCGCAAACCACTTGACATATTCTTGTGCATTAGTTTATCTGTCACATATTTATTCTAAAACATAAGCTCCATGAGAGTAGAAATCTCATGTTCATATATGCCCAGGGCTTAGAAAAGCAGCTGACACTAAGCAGAGGCTAATAAATAACTACTGAGAGCATAAATGATACGTAGCTCTCCAGTGAGTCTAAGAGTTTGAAGGCCTAACAACATGCCTTACTCCAAATACACATTCATCCCTTGCCTCCAGCGACCTTACCAAGCATGGTGTGAGAGATGGGGAAGGTGATGGTGGGCTGGCCTGTCATCCTCCAGCGGCTACAGAGGTAGGAGAGGTCTGTTCTGAGCATTTCCACGATCATCTTGTTGTCTAGAGCCAGGTAGAACTGTTGCTGGTCTATAAACTGAGAAAAATAAAAGGAACAGCTCAGAATAATTAACTCACAACTATAAAATAATATTTTAAAGTAATCACATAGTCACAAGGATATATAACATGTCACAAAGGCAGTATTACCTCCAAACGTAATGCCTAATTCTTTCCAAAGTCTCTGGTGGTTTATTGGTACGCATGATAATTTTTTGAGATTTTTACAGTGTGTTATAGTTTACAAAGTGTTTTCAAGTACATAAGTTTATTTAATTCCGTAACAACCCAGTTAGGGCTTTTCTTCTTTTCATACATAAAAATTAAGGTCAAGAGACATTAAGTGGATTAGCCAAATTGTATGGCTAGCAAGCGGTGAGGTCAGAAAGAGAATGTATGGTCTATTCTTTTGTCTAGCCCTCAGCTGCACTATTTTGGATGTAAGATGACAAGTGGAGAGCTTAAGCTTTCTTTCCAGAAAACAGTTTCTCCTCCCCACACACACATAACAGGGCTGGCTACTGTAACGTGGCTAATAAAGGTCAAGCCAACAATGTGAACCATCACGGTTAAAGCAGCACAGGCATTTGTGTTTGGAAGAGGACATGTAAGCTCTTCAAGGCCCCTCCCCTGAACAAAGAGAACACATAATTCGGTAGCCGAATAAAAAAGACTATTTTGTTTATAAAGGATAAATAGAAATACAGTCTTATTTTTAAATCTTGAAAGGAGTACTTTTTAGAGTACTGAAACATTGGCAAAATTCCTAGTCACTACTTTTGCAACACCCAGGATTACCCTCAGTAGCCGCAATCACTCGGCATAGCTCTAGCTGCAAATTCAATTCAGTCCAGCTCAGCGAGTATTTACAGAGCAACTTAATATTTGCAAGGCCCGGGGAACTCCAACTTGTCCCAACTCCAGTAAATGCTTGATTTCTCTAGTGTTTCTCTTTGATTTTCACGCATCTCAATGCACAGTAAAGCTGATTCCACCCACCTGTGGCGTGAAGGTAAAGGTAGTTTTCCGAATGTCATAGAGTTTTGAAGTTCCAAGGACCCCCATGTGTCTGTAGGGCCGTCCACTGAGTTTCATTCTGCTGTTGCATCCTGAGACAGAATTGAGAAATGGTCAAGATATTTTTAGTGTGCAAATCCAATCAGCGAATATTTTTTATTAGTTTACAGTTCCTGATTGAACAAACTTGAGTTCTATGTTTCAGTTAGGGTTGATGTCATGTTCAGGGACATACGAAGCATTATGAGACTATTAAGAACTTCGCCCTCTTATAAAGAAGCCACATCATCTACATGTGAGACAAGAAAGCACATAAAATTAATAGTCTATGAATGATGGAATTCTATTACCAAAATTCGAACACTGAATTTCCTTAAAGCCCATAAAAATGCAAATGGTACACTGATTTTCAAACTTATCAGTGTAAACTATGCCTCAACAAAGCTGAATAAAACCTCATAGAGGCTTAAAGATGGAACACTAAACCGAAAAACAGAAATGAGTGTATCTTAATATCCTCCAGCAGCAGAGTCCTGAAACATTTTTATTCAATGGAACAATTCATTTTATCCAAGTAAGTCAAAATATTTCAATATTCTTGTGTCTGACATTTTGTGGGACGTGATACACTAAAATTCATGTGGCAGAGCAACATTTTTCAAAACTTTAGGAAGGGGGAAGACACACTGTCAACTACAAAAGGCATAATTTTAATAAAATTTAAGTAGAATATGTACACATTGTGTCTAAATATCGTGTACGTATATGTTTGAATGCACACTCATACACAGACTCTACCTGCTTTCCTCCAGTACAAAATATCTTTTTAGTTTAGCATTCTGAAATCTTAATCTATCTGATAATTGAGGTCTCAGTTGGATTTTTGTCTTTCAAAAGGCAAATTATTATATCAATACCTGTTACAATGAGGAAATAGACCTTTTACTCATATGTAGATTAAAAATTTACATTTCCTGTTCTGTTAACTGCCTGTTAGTTCCTTTGGCTGTTTTTCTTTTGTGCTGTCTCTCTCTTGCCTTTTAAGGAGTTCCTGTTCCTTAGGGATATTAATCCTTTGTCACATATACTGCAAATAATTTTTAGCTATGGTTTATCCTGTAGGTTCGTTTGTTTTTTCCATTCCAAAGAGTTTTACTAAAAAGAGTGTTTTCCCTTTATCCTACGAGACCTTTACACAAGCCGTACACCTTGAATCTGAACCGATTTTCTGGAAACCAGTATTACATTTTATTAGAAGAAACTGGGGTCTGGATTACAGGTGACCATTTACAGGCGTTCGACAAGTCCAAAGGAAAGAGAAACCAGCTCCAGCCTTCTGAACCTCTTTACCAGTGGCCTCTGCAGGGCTCCCTCACAGCCATCATTTCTCTATTTTCCTTTGCTGCTATTTTTGTAGTTTAGACGTTTGCGTGGTCTACCTTACCAAACAGGTTTAAAGTCACTCATTTCACGAACCGTATTTAAAGGCATAGCAGTTACTGTCACATATCGGATGCACCCTAATCAAATCTGAGTCAGCAGAGTCGTTCACTTGTCCCTTGCACGTGTGTCCTTCCTGACTTCTGGTTTCAGCTTTCTTTCGAATCTTCCTGTCACTCGTGTGTCTCCCCCCAGCTCATTTCATCACTCCTTCAAAATATTTCTTCTTCTTCTGATTTCTCTTAAGATTCCTACCTCTATTTCAGGAACAAATGTACCTTTTTTGCAACTCGATTATCTCTTACTAAGCCACTCAACTACTGTACATCTGTTTGTTATCTACAGTGTGGCAAAAAATAAAAACTATCAGAAGAGTAAAAGAGAGGTAATGAATAGGAAACAGGCAGTTTGGCACTGTTTTCTAACTGTCTGAATTGCAGACCAGCACCAGGAGCTTTCCTAGTTGGATCCGTGTGGGGGGACGATGGCACCTGCGTTGATTTTTCTGCACAGCCGCCTTTTACTGTTTGTTTTATTTGAAACAAAAATCAAGTTTCCTCACTCAAAATATAGGCATAGAATGCAAGTTGTAGACAGTCTCATACCACTCTTTTTCAGGAACAAATGTACCTTTTTTGCAACTCAATTACCGCTGCCTAAGCCATTGTCACTCAGCTACTCTGCATCTGGGTTTGTTATCTACAGTGGGGCAAAAAAAAAAAAAAAAACTCAAGAGAGTGAAAGAGAGGCAATTAATAGGAAATAGCCGGTTTGATTGGCATCGTTTTCTAACTGCCTGAATTACAAAACAGCACCAGGAGCTTTCCTAGTTGGATCGGTCTGGGGGGGATGATGGCAGCTGCATTGATTTTTCTCCATAGCTGCCTTTTACTGTTTCTGTTTTTATTTGAAAAAAAAATCAAGTTATCTGTACTCAAAATATAGGCATAGAATACAAGTTCTAGATATTCTCATACCAAAAGGGAGAACATTAAAGGAAAAAATTTATCAATGGCCCCATACAAGTTTGAAATCCACTGGGCAAATACCACTAGGTTTCAAGGAGTGGTAATAACACTTTGTGGCTCTGCCCTCTGAGCCCGAGACACCTCTCACTGGACCCAGGGGCCCTCCCTTGAAGTCGTCCTTCCTGTTTCTTGAAGGATAGTACTGGTCTGCAGCTGAGTGGTTTTATGAGCCTGCTTCCTGACTGCCCCACATCCTTCTTTTACCCTGTCCTCTGTTCGTTTCCACCCAAGTTGGCAGTGTTTCTACTAGTACAACATTCTCAACAACTTTGTGGATCTTACACGTACATCATGGGGGTTCAAGCCATTAAACAACAGGGTCCTCCCCAAGATCTTCCCCAGATAATCCCATCTTGATTCCTAGGGTTCTGCTGAGATGGCTGAGGGAGTCCATGAGACACTGGCCTAATCCCTTCACATAGACCTCTTGGGTTAACAAATACTCTGATCTTGTATTGTAATGTTTCTGAAGCACTAGCAAAAGGCTGTCCAGCCACATACCCTTGACCTTTATTACAGGGCATGCTTTTCTGACAGCAGATCTAATTTTATCATCTTTTCCAATCTGGATAGCCTGGTAATTTCGGCAAGTCTTGGTTCTTTTCCCCTTAACTGTTCTTCCCTCAATTTATCTCTTCCGTCTTGCATTTTACTATAAGCAGCAAAAGCAAAAGGTAATGATTTCAACACTTTGCTTCCAAATCGCGTCAGTTAAATATCCAAGTTCATCACATAGTTCTGTTTTCCACATAACTAAATGACACAATTCAGCAAAGCTGTCTGTTACTAAAAACAAGGATCCTTTTCAAGTTTCCAATAACTTGTTCTTTCTGAACTCTCACCAACAATGCCTTTATAAAATCCATATTTCTATCAAAAGTTTTTTAAAGGCATTCTAGACTTTTCTATCAAGTTCCTGTAGAGAGGAGGCAAGAGAACTAAAGGGTTAAATCAAGCTACATTCAGAGACTGCAATATGCTG